TGTTATTTGGTTTCTATTTAGAGGGAGCCGGGAACTCAACAGGCTCCCTCAAGCAAGGGGATCGATTTTGGCCGGCCGCGCGCAAATATCCCGCGCAAAATTTTAAACAAAAACAAAGGTAGCAACCACTGTCACGGAAACTATGCCAAGAAAATTAAACGTTCATAAAAAGTAGAGAAAGCAAAACTCGACACTCTTCGAGCACAAAACTTATTCAATGACGGGTATCCTGATTATTTACCATTTTGTTTTAGGCTACATCACTTTAGGCTATATAAAAGTCATGAGGTTCTACAAAACAACGTGACTTATTGGATTTTATGTAAGTTTACAACTCTTAGAGGGCAAGTTGGTTCTGAAATATTGGAACAACATGCAAAGACATTTGGTCATTGCGTTGAACATGCTAATAATGGCTATGTATTTTGTAGGTCTCAAGTGATGGCAGCAAAAAGCGGTTACATGAAAATCTCTGGTGATGAAGATAAAAAAGTCAGTTTTGTATCTTCACTTTTTTTTTGTTGGATGAACGAAGTCCTTGAAAAGGGCAGTCAAAGACCTTTGGATCAAAATGACTTTTTACCCTTGTCAGACGAGAACTCTGGCCGTTTTGTCACCGACAAGCTTCGAAAAAGCTGGGAAAGCGAGAAACATCATTGCAAGATGAATGGGAAAAGGCCTAAACTTTGGAAAAGCGTATTTCATATGCTTTCTGCCAAAGATGTTATCATCATTTTGACGGGGTATATATTGTGTACAACTTCTCGCCTTCTCTTTCCACTGTTTCTCGGGTATCCTGTTTCTAAGCTAATGTCAACTGAGGTAGAGAATACTCATCGGCTCTACACCTGCGCATTAGCTATGTGTCTCAATGGTTTGATTAGTGGTTTTGGTATGCACCAGCGAGACTACAGATGTGAGATATTGGGGATCAAAATAGGAAGCGCCCTAAGGGGACTGGTGTACCACAAGGTAGGCACGATCCTAAAGAGCATTCTTTGCATTTTTCAAAGGCTCAACCGATTTTTCTAATATACTAAACACCCCAAATTAAGCCGAACAAACTTGAACACAAGTATCTATCCGATATAAAATGATTTTTCTATAAATCTGATCGACTGCAATCGGCTTATGCCATGGAGACCTAGAAGGAGAGGGTTATTAAACATCATCGCTGGTTGCTGCTTCTGCGGGAGCAAGCAATCCTGCTCACCAACAAAAGAAAGATAATTTGGTAGAGGTTTGGTTACTCTCGTCTCGAAACGCAGTCACGAATATCTTTATGCAGGAGATTAGGCTTAGATAGTTTTTGGAACTTATTTCGTCTTTAATGTCTAACCTGTACTTTCTTTCAGACGCTTCTACTCAGTAAGAAGACGTTACTGAGGTTCACTGCTGGACGCTTATTCGATCTGATATCCAATGATGTTAAAAGAATGGAAGAAGAGACAGTCAATATTTTTTTCTCAGGCGTTTTCGCAGTCCCTGTTTATGCAGGGGCCACATTCCTTATTTACAATTTGATTGGTTGGCAGGCTGTTACAGGTGTGTTCCTCCTGTGTATTCTCATGCCATACTTTGCCGTCTTGTCCTATGCTAATGCTAAGCTGCGCTTGCGCACAGCTGCAGTATCCGATGAGCGAATCTCCCTAATGAATCAAGTAGTTTCCGGGATCCGCGCGGTCAAAATGCATGCGTGGGAAGACGAATATGGACGGAAGATAAAAAATGTGAGAAGGTAAGGTAATTATCATTTTTATTCAGAAGTAGGCTCCAACAACTAGCTTAATTCATTC